CCTCCAGTTCTTTTGGGTGATGCTCTTCCCAGCCTTCGGCCACTGCCACAGTTCTGTAGATCAGGAAGCTGCTGAGCAGCCGAGGGGACTCTGTTGGCCTCCATCCCTCTCCCTTAGGCAGCTCTGTCTGCTCCAGGACCGTCTGGCGAACTCCAGTTTCTTGGTGTCTCAGCCCCACAGCCTCAGTGAAGGAAGGGTTCCCTGCACCACCGCCTGGACACTCCCCATGCAATAAGCTCGGGCGGTGCATCTCATCCCGCACGCTGCCCATCTCTCAGGGAAGATCATTCCTCACACCTCACGTCTCCCTCCCTGGGAGGGCCACTGCTGCACAAATTTCGTCTGCTTTGTTTTGTGTTTGGTTGTGTCGGGTAAGAGGGTACCTCTGGTCCCTGTTACCCCATCTTGGTCACCAAATAGCAATTGTATGTTCATATGTACACTCCCATAGGGCATTATTACTACTAGTATCACAGAACGTGGGCGACTGAAACTTCCTATGCTGGCAAGTTTTCAGTTTCTCCGAGCATCACTTACTACGCGTTTGTCAGAGGTAACAGGCTCCAACGGCCATCCTTGTGGTTTGCGCTTTGCAACCTGCTGAGGTGGTAAAGGTACTCAACAGAGTCCTGGGCCCATTACTTAATATGAGCTCGTAAGTTCTTTGGAGGAAATTCAGCACACACTGTACATTACCCACGTTAATTTAACAAAAAGGAAAAAGCAAAAAGGAGCGTGGAAGCAGGAATTGGGTAGACAAAGACCCCATTCAGGCCCTTTGGTGCCGAAGCTGAACCCATGTAATGGGGAGAGCAGGTCAGGGCTGTAGAGTGCGGCTGTTGGCGCTGCGGATATTCTCTGTACCCGAGAAACTGGCCACCCGTCATGAGGTGCGCACAGGGCCTGCAGACCCCAGTCGCTTCTGCAGCTGGGGCTCCCTGGAGCAGCCCTGTGCCCTGGAGGAGCCTCCATGCTCGCTGCCCAGCTGCCCAGCAGGGCTCCCCAGGCTGCAGGGAAAGCGGCCAGCCCACCAGCCAGGCTCTGTCTGCACTTCTCAGTGGAAGGCGCAGAGGGGCAGGCCTGCTCCGAGCCAGCTGGCCACCACCCACCAGCAAGCCCAGCAAGCCAGGCCAGGCCGCCTGGTTTCTGTTCCCTCTGGCTGTGTGTCCTCCAGTGCCGCTTCTGGTGCAGGCAGAGGCAGCTGGCACCGACAAACAGCCCCTCAATCCTGTCCGTGACACGCTGTTGCCAATATTCAGCTTAGAGGAATAAAAGGCGAACGTAAACTTCAGCTCCTGCTGCAGAAGTTGTTTAAGCTACAAGAAACGGGAGGGAGTGAGCGGCACAACTGCTCTAATTTACCCACACCTTCCCGCTGTCAAGCCGTGGGAAAGTATCCCCCTGGAAGAAAGGAAAGCTCTTCAAGACATCTGTTAGCTCATTTCTGAACAGTCAGCTTCCACACTCGGCGACTCTAAACAGGGGTGCTGAGAGCACCAGGTTTGGTGACATCCTTCACAGTCAGTAGCTCAGGGACTGGCTGGGTGGGAGGACAGGCAGCAAGAGAGCTTCTTAGCTCAGTTCTCACCCACCGGAGCAAGCGCTACTTAGCGCCTCTGCATGCGTGCGTGCGAGCGTGCATGTGTGCGAGCGTGCGACAGACCCCTCTGCCAGCCTGCGCACGCATGTCGGAGCAGTGTTCCTCATGCACACAATCAAATGCACACCAGCTCGAAGGAAATCAATGGGTCTCGACTTAACAATGGTTCCACTTTAGATTTCTTAGCTTTACAACGGTGCAAAAGCATAGCTGTACAACCACTCTCTCGCTTTTAGTAGACAATTCGGTAAATGACATGAACTATTCCCACAATCTAATAAGAAATTAGATGATTTTGCCCCACTGTAGGCAAAATCATCCTACCAAAATCAGCCTACCCCACTGTAGGCTAACCGCACATATAAGGCAGGCTAGGCTTAGCTGTGAGGTTTGATAGGTACATTTTTGACCTGAAATATTTGTAGCTTACATTAGGTTGACACACAGTGCTACTGTAAGGTGAGAAACAACTTTCTAGTTAACAGGCTAAAAATTTGAAACATAGTGAAAAAAATACACTTTTCTATTAATGCACAAAACTGTATCATTCAAAAAAAAAAAAAAATCCGTCATGACAAGTGCATCTGCCATTTCAGGAGTCCCTAAAGCGGTATGCAATGGTTTCATTGGGTGACGGCATCACAGCGCTTTGCTGTCTGCATTCATTACTGAAAGGAACACCAAATTTCAGCTACAGGTTAATGAAAAGAAAAATGCAGTGTCAGTCTCATCCGAGATTACAGATCCCCTCAACTCTGTCCCTGGACTCCGGGACTCCCAGATTAAGAAGACATTTCTTTTCCTGCCCTATTGGGAAAGAATACTGCCTTAGCAGGGGTTGAATCTCCATCCTGGCTCCACTCCTGGCCAGCTGGGAAGCTCATCTCCTGAGACCTAGTGAGAAAATATGCGCCGTCTTCCCTGAGGCCTCTGCCAGGCTCTTCTTTCTGCCTGCTTTGCCCTTCCCGGTCTCCTTCACTTAGCTGGCTGGACTTGGTCTTTTAGGGTACAACAGAGGGCACCCCTTTCAGGAGGCCTTCTTAGCTCTCACATGCTAAGGCAGAGGGCAGGACTCTCACTCATCCCTAAATATCCTGTAGCCACCCTATTACTGATCTTCTCAACTACTATGGTATAAAGACCTGCCTATGTCATTTGTCCCTACCCCTTGCACAAGCGTGAGCTCCTCTGAGGCAGCAATAGTGACCTCCCATCCCTGTGTTCCATGCGTGGAATCAGTCTATATTTACTGAATGAACGGATGAGCAGAAGGGTGAAAGCTGTGGCCACACCAACTATCTTTCTCTCTGCAAAAGTACTTTTTCTCTCACAAAAGTGCTTTTCAACCCTGGTTACCTGTGTGAAGTGCTTCTGGACATTTTAGAAATTCCTGAGACTCAGGATGCACCCACAGAGATTCAGCTTCTGGGAGGCAGAGGCGGGACCCCAGCCTCTGTACTTTTAAAAGGAATACAACAACCAGGTACAGCCAGGGATGAGAACCCATCAGGTTACAAGAGTAGCAGCTGAGGTGAGAGCATTGTGCTCTCAAATGAACGGCTTTCCTAGGCCTAGGAAGATGAAATTAGTGCAGAAGTCTGAATCCTGCAGGGGGCTAAACACATAGAGTGCATTTCTGACCCTCAGAGTCAGATCAGAGTTCTGAATCCCGTAACATCAATGAGAGCTGAACTCCACTCTGAGACCGAGATGGAAAACTCTGGGGCTTGCCAGGGAAGATCATGAAAAAAACTGCAAACCCCGCAGGCAAGCACACTGTTCCATCCTCTCCTGGCAACGCATCCTGGGGCAAAGGGTCCGATCCCCAGTGACAGCCCGTCTTTTAGGTGACGCATCCCCGCTGTGTAGTTTCCTAATCTACAAGGTGGAGACGATGACACTAACACCAACTGCAAAATACTGCTGCAGGAAAGTAAGCAGGTAATGGGGACACAAGTGTTGTGTCAATCACCAAACATGCTACCAAGAATAAGTCTTTGCTTTGCAGTCTACCGACTGAGTTCCTATAGGCAGAAACACCTTCACGGATCGGGGAATAAGAACACAGACGTTAGGGTCAGCTCTTACCAGCTGTGTCATCTTATGCAAACAATATAATCTTTGGGTCGCAATTCTTCTCTGTAAAATGGCGGATAAAAATAATACCTGTCTCACAGGCAGGTTTGGCTGAGTCAAAGAACTTACTAGCAAAGTGGTTCTACCTGAGCTTGAATCTGAATCACCGAGGGCCTGTTAAACACTGACTGCTGGACCTCTTCCCGGCACTTCTGACCTAGGATACTTGAGCTGGAGTCCAAGAATTGGCACGTCTAACAAATTACCTGGTGATGCCGATGTTGCTGCTCTGAGAAACTATACTTTGAGAACCGCTGGCTTAGAACAGTGCCTGGCGTACAGTACGTAGCTAGTGAGTGTTTGCTCTTATCTCTTCCTGGGATCTATTTTCTCAGTCCCTGAGCAAAACACTTCCTGCTTCAGTGCTGCTCAGCACTGCACTGTGTGGAAGCAACGTTGAAATCGTCTACTTCTCAGTGGTTTTCAAAGTGTGGGTCCCCAGCAAGTGGCCCTGGTGTCACTCGGGAGCTGACTTGTGATGGAAGCGCTTGGATCCCAGCGTGGATCTACTGAATTGGGACCTTGGGAGTGAAGCTCAGTATCCTATGTTCTAGCAGACCTTTGGGTGAGTCTAAGCACATTAGGTTTGAGAACTGCTGTCCTAGAAAATCACCATTGCATGAAAATAAACCTTACTGAAAACACTGGGGAAGCAGGAAAGCTGCAGGCCTACAGTACAGGTTTGGTTAAACTGCAGTATAAGGCCTGGCTCAGCTTCTTAGTTATCCTGAATCCTTGAATTATGACATGTTTTTAAGCATCAGTTTCCTCATCTGGAAAATGGGCCTCACTCCAGGACTTACCTCACAGGAAGTGCTTGACACTTGTTCAAAGAATGTTGGCTGCCAGTATTATAATTTTTATAATCATTACACTATCACTGAATACGGTTTGAGAGAATTGAGAAAAAAGAATAAAAACTATTTTTTTTAAAAAAGAAATAACATCAAGGGTCAAGGCCAAAAACATCATTGTCATGGTCCTCCAAACTGAGGTCAAAACTTCCCTGGGGGTCCCAGAGCCAAAGGCAAAATGCAGAGGTCATGTGGGTCCAGCTCTGGAGAGAGAGGAAGGAAACTGACTGTACTGGATAGCAGGGTCTGTCCCCACACCAGCGCCAAGTTCCAGGAGAAGATGCAAAAGGCCCTGTGCGACGGGACAAAGTCTCCGCTAGCAGCGCTTCCTGTACCTGATTCTTTAATTTTCAAACAAGAGACCTGGGCAGAATCCTTAGATCCCAGAAGATGAGAGACTTCACACTCACTTTGGGTGCCGGATGTCAGGCAGAGAGCGATTCAGGGAGATTTTATCGCTGACGTAGATGTTAAATCCATTTTCTCGGTATGCCTGGTCCACTCTCTCTGCATCTGTCATGGGGTACGGTCTGCCCTGTTCTCCGTTTCCTAGAGGCAAAGAGTAAATTCAGTGTTGCGGATTACCTGGCTTCGGTGGGCAGTGTTGTGAATGGAGCGGGGAAAGCAGGGCGGGAAATGTGATCAAACCACAGAGATGCAACTTTATACCTGTGTACAGGGCGCACCTGCAGGATCTGCAGGGAGGCGTGGGGAGTGGGGGAGGGAGCTGGTCCCACCGTGTACTTTACAGATCTTGTCCTCATGCAGTCTCCATAGCAACCCTGTGCAGTGGCCTGGACAGCTGTCATTCTACAGGTGAATACGCTGAGCCCCAGAAAGGTTACAAAACCAGGTGTAGGTTCCAAAGCCTCAGCGCCCTCCACTCTCCCAGGAGCCCCAAACATCCCTGCACTTTGCGTCCTTCACCTGGACAGGAGGCCAGGTGTATGAGCCCATCGACCTTGATCACACCTGGTCTCCGAGCTGCAGCTTCCTCCTCTGATGCCCAGAGTTTGTTTGGGAGAATCTAACGAGAGGACCCATCTGTGACTGCTTTTTGTAAACTATAAAACACTATAAAATGTGAGGAAATGTGATGACTTTATATGTAATTCAAACTTGATATGTAAATCAAAGTTACCACATATGACATAAGCTGCTTTTACTTTTTTGCAAACAAGCAAACAAATTAAGAGCTGCACACCCTCAGCCAGGATTGCCTGGAAAGTGTTGGTTTGAGTCATAAATTTGGTAGAGAAAGCCAACTTTTCTTTCTCTGCACAAACCGTCTTGGAGAAGAGTCCCTGATGTCTCAGGAAAATATTCTCTGGGTTCGCAAGGAGCAGAGGCGTGTGAGAATTGTACCACAACCCTGCAATAGTGGCCCAAAAATCTGTGTGGGTGAGCCGCGAAGAAGTGACAATAAAAATAGATGGTTAAAAATCACCTCCCTTTCTGGAGGTGGAGGCCTGAACTACCTTCCATTTACTCTGCAAAGACAGAATTCCCAAAGGACACCCATGCAGCAAGCAGAAAGAGAAGACCAGAAGGTTTTTTTTTTTTTCCTCCGGTACCGGGAACCGAACTCACGACCTTGCGCTTGCCAGGCAGGCGCTTTACCACTGAGCTAAATCCCCAGCCCCTGGACCAGAAGGTTTGTTCAGGGTGGCTACACGGGGGATGCTAGGCAGCCCTGCTAGTCCCCAAGATGTCATGGTGGGCATGCTTATAGCTCTTTGGCTCAATTTGTGCCCTTTATATTAACTGGAATTAAGAAGGTTCATTGTGATGACTGAGGAGGCAACTCAGCGCAAGATCCCTGGCACTTCGTTGCTGTTCTCCTCCTTCCCCTCCTCTCCCTTCCCCTCCCTTTCCTCCTTTTTGGCAGTGCTAAGGATTGAACCAGGGCCCCATGTATGCTAGGCACGCATGCTTACCACTGAGCTACAACCCCAGCTCTTTGTATATATTGAGCCAGGATCTCGCCAAGTTGCCCAGGCTGGCCTCGAACTTGTAATCCTCCTGCCATGGTGGCCCTGAGTAGCTGGCATTACAGCATGGACCATAACATAACCTGGCTGGTTATTATTCTTAATGCCTCCACTGCTCTTCCCTTACTGGGTTCCCCACTGTTCTAATAATTCTGCTACAAATGTCTGGCAGGTCAGCTCTTTGCAAATATTTCCTCGCTTAATTTAAGCAGAGCCCCTTCCCATTTAACTTGAAAACACTGTCAACAGAGGAATGCATGTCTTATCTTTAGATTCCTTTGGCCATTAATTATTACATCACTTCTCTTCAGAGCCCATGGTAAAACACAAATAGGCGGGGGTAACTTTAACTGAGATTAAAAAAAAAATGAATGGAATATCAACGCCTTATGTTTCTACCATGCTTTCCAACACAGCAAAGTTACTTCCTGTCCATGACTTTGTCACTCTTACAGCAATAATCTAGGGCTGCACGGGCAGGAAGCACGGGTCCCACCGACAGATGGAGAGACTGAGGCTCGGGGAGCACGGATTTCATCTGATGGGCACATGGCTGCGCCGTGGCACAGAGTTCTGGAGACCATTTTCCATAGTCTCGCCTACATAATCCCAGCACCCTCATCCCACTCTCCATCCAAAAGGAACTGCTCCAAACACTAGAGAGCAGAAGAAAACTTAATCTGAAGCCCACTGGATTAATTCAACCTGCTGGTGACAATGCTGGGTAGGAAACAACTCTACCTTCCAGGCCTGGGTTCAAGTCCCAAGTTGGCCTCATTTTCACTGTGTGGTTGCAGGCAGATCACTGCAACTCTATGAAGTGCAGGTCCTTGCGCATTAAATGGGCCATCAAGGTTGGTGTTCAGGGTCACACAGGGGCAATACATAGAGTACAGAGTGTGGACCTCACTCACCAGGGCATTCAATGGGTGTCAGCTCTTGTTATTATTGGTCCTCGTTTTAGGTTAAGGGTTCTATGGTGGAGACATTTCTGATCACCCAGAAAAGGTAGCAGGGCAAATCCTTGGGGGCAGAGGGTCTGTTGGTGTGACAAATGGATCAGAACAGCGGGAAGGGGGACAGGAATCAGGAGAAAGGATGGTGGCAGGCAGGGAAGAAGTCCGCTGGAGTTGCACACATACCTGCTGACACGCTCACTGGCACCCCCCCACCTGAAACAAGCACACTGGAGCCCACCCATGGACACCCCGCCTTCCGTACCCACGCGCTGGGCATCCCTCCTGATGGCCTCCTTATCATGCCAGTCCTTCAGCTTCTGCCCATCTCCCGCGAAGAAAGGCTTCTTCTGCCGACTGTGTGAGCCCTGGAAAGAAAGACAAAAATTGTGAGAGACAAGAAAACCAGATAAGGTCAGTGACCCAGCCCTAGAAGTGACACCGCCTCCGGGGCCTCCGGGATGGACTCTGTCTGCGTGGTCTGTCCGTTCCCTCAGTCTGCCTCGGTGGGATGGCCACGTGCCAGCCAGGCGTGCAAGGTCCAGTGAGACAACAGAACTCAGCGTCCACTGCTAGGAATTCCCAAAGCTGTAGGGAAAGGAAAGAGGGCTCCTTCTTCTCACCCAAGGGAGCAGGCACTACGGGCAGTATTGCCCAACAGAAACAAGGTGTGAGCCAGATCTGTAATTTGAAATTTTCTACTTTCCATGTTAAGAAAAAGAAATAGATGAAATTAGTTTTGGTAATATACTTTAATTAACCCAATACAATGAAATGTTATCCTTTCAACATGCAATCTGTAAGAGATTATTGAGGCATTTTACACTTTTTCTCCATTGGCACTAGCCTTTGACATCCAGGGAGTACTGCACACTATGTTCAGTTCAGACCCATCTCCAGGGCTCTGGAGCCTCGGGTGGCCGGCAGCTACACTGCGGATAGGGTAGGGGCAGGGACTCTTCGGTGAGTGGCTTACGGTTCACTTCCCCTGGAAGAAATGGAAAAGGTTTCCTGGACATGAGGACAACAGGCTGGGCCTTGGACAGGAGCAGTGAGGGGTGGGCGGGGAAAATGGCCTGGGCACAGCTGCATGGTGCAGACGGGGAAGGCAGATCTGGGTTTGGCCTGAGCGACAGGAGACCAGGGCACAGAAAGAGACACTGGGTCTTGGTCACCCCTGCAGTCCCAAGGGCCTGGCTTCAAAGAGGGTGAACATCTGGCAAATGTGTGAGAGTATATGACAAACAATTGAGAGGTCAAAAGACAGAAAAACATACAGCAGCCAGGAATGTAGCCCCAAGAGCTGGCCTGTGACGGCATTTATCAGGGGTAGGCCCATCCAACTGGGCCCATTAGGAAGTGGCTTCCATGATTAAAAGAGGCTGCATTCCTGGGTCCAGAGTCAACCCAACGGGCTGATGTTTTCCCATGGAAAACATTTTCCCATTGGTCAAGTCCAAAGCCCTGCAAGCCTACACTGCAAGGCTACCTAAGCATCTTCCAAGTGCATGTAAATGTCAGTGGCTTCCACATCACCCTGCCCCTTCAAATCCTACAGACTTGTTCATGCCATTACGGCAGCAGGATCCAACAGTCCTATTTCCTATATAATTAGCCAGGAAGGCCTTGCGCTAACCATCCCTCAGCTTGTTTGTTGAGACTCTGGCTCACGCTTGCATTAGCAGGTTTTCCACAATGGCCCAACAGCCTTACAGCATGTCTGTGATGATGACAAAAATCTTTCATACTCCCCCAACAGGCCTTTTTACATTGCAAGAACAGAATTCTGGAAGTTGCAGGATTAGTTGTCTTGGTCAGACACAGTAGGAGAACTACAGAAGCAGAGGCCATGTGCCAACAACCAGCCTTAAGGGTTCTTGGAAATCACAGAAGCTGAGCTGGGAGGTCCTTAAGGGTCGCTAATCAGTGTAGAGGGTTTCAACTGCCCCGAACTACACACAGTTCTGCAGGAGGCGCCTCAGGCACTGCCCTGGGAAGCACAGGCCTAGAGAGGGGCCGCCACCCCTTTGGCTCTGAATGGAGTGCACCTGTTTCCTGCACTGGGATTCCATTGAAAACCTTCTTCTGCTGAAAGTGAGCAGGTGATCACATCTCCCAGACAAGCAAATGTATCTGGAAAAGGCAAGGCCACTTCCCCAATCCACATGGAGAAATCAGGTTTAGGGTGAGCCAGGGAACTGACCGAGGTGCTACCCTTTTACTGTCATTGTAGGCAAACTCTGTCTGGTGGCTTTTAGGAAGTCTGTGTTTTGTTTGGTTTTGTCTTAAATTCTAGCTTTAAAAAGCAGGAAGATTTCATATTATTTTATCAAGGTGTTTATCTTCTTCTGCAAACCCAAAAAATAAGTCAATACTTGGGTTCCCCCAGCCCTGTAGCTGTGCTGAAAAAGGGCTGACCTGAATAAGGGTGGAGTTCGTCTCTAGTTTGCTGCAGGCGCCCCATTTCTTATTGTGTTTCACTGGGTGCGCATCTCTCACGTGTTACCTGCATGGCCCCGTGAGTGTGTAATACGCTGAGATATACAGCAATGTGTACTGGGTGGGAAGATTAGACATTGTTTAAGGTCTAGGAGATCAGACATCCCGGAGGACAGGGGAGAAGTTATCTTGCCTTCCGAGGAGGTCCTGAGACTAGAGTGAGTGCCAATGGCAGAAGCTGCTGAATAATAAAGTGGTCACCCTATGAGGCAGAAGATATTCCAAAAGTTAGATCAGTGCAATGATGAAACAGGACCACTTGGAAGAACATACCAAAGGAGGCAGGAACAGGAAGCCTGCCTGCTCATTAGGATGGGGTGGACAGAGGTCAAAGTGCTGGGGTAGAGCCAGGGCTTCTCAAATTTTAACGCGCAGTAAAGTCACACAGGGAACCTTGTTAATGTGGTCTGATACAGACGGTCGGGGTGGCCTAAGACTGTGCGTTTCTAACAAGTTCCCAGGTGATGCTCATGCTGCTGTTGCACAAAAGGCTCTCTGAGTAACAAGGGTTTGGAAACCTGTAGAGAACATCTCCAGCATCTGAGATCCCATGAAGAACTATTTCCTGACATCCCTGTGAAGGTCTTCTGATGCTGCTGGAACTGGGGTTCAGGGACGGATCTTAAAGTCATGACCTCAGAGAAGCAAACTCTCTCCATCTTCTCAAAATGGAAGAGGAGAGTGCTCAGCTGACAGCTCCATGGCCTCTGCCTTAGGGATGTGCCTACCTCCCTCCCTCCCTCCCAGGATCTGCTGAGGTGCCCTATGCAGTTTTAGGTGGTCAAATTAGGTGCAGCATCCTTAAATCAAGAGGACTTCGGAGCTTGCTGACATAAGGAGTTGTAAGTGTCTAAAATATGGTTGCTAGGTCTTCTTCAAACACCTGAACTAAGCAGCTACTCAGAGACAACCAGTCCATCTTCCCCATCTTACAGGCGGGGGAAGTCCAAACAGGCCAAGTTATGAAGCCCAGGCCACACAAGCAGGCAAGAGGACAAGGGCCACGTCCTTTGACTCCCAGGCTAGTTTGCAGGGGAAAAAGTCCTTCCACAAGGTGTGACCTTGCACATGTTACAGAAATGACAGGCACCTCAATTTTCCCACCTGGAAGATGGAAATACTATAAGCTGCCCGAAGTACATTCAGATGAATGGAAAAACTCACCCTAAGGGGAGCCTGGATCGGATATAAGGGACAGAGGATTATCTTGTCACTGGCTGGTTTTTCCCCTTGCTTGCTCTCACTTGTCTGTTTGCCGTGGACTGTTTTTCCTCTATGACGCCCCTCTATGATGCCCCATGTGACCCTGCTTTCGAGCCAGCCGTCTACGAACTGAGACCTCTACAAACTGAACCAAATAAACCTTCCCTCCTTTAACTTTGGGTGTCGGGTATTTTGTCCCAGTAAGGAGAAAAGTAACTAAGACAAACACTATGGATCCTGAAGAGGCAACCTATTAACACCTGAGCCAATTCAACTGCCTCTTGTTGACAACAGGATTTAGAGGTTCCTCATTAACAGGAAGTCACATGCCCAGGTAGAAACACGGTGTTCCTTAAGGAAAGAAAAAAGTTGTTAGCTACAGTGGCATCCTGTGACAGAAACAAAGACCACAAGACGCTCTCAGCAAGAAGGAAAGTACCAACAATGCTGTGAAAAGGCAGCAATTCTTTTTTTGTCTTTTTGAGACAGGGTCTCACTATGCAGTTCAGGCTGGCCTTGAGCTCATTTTGTAGCCCAGGCTGGTCTCGAACTTACAACAATCCTCCTGCCTCAGCCTCCCAAGTGCTGAGATTATAGGCGTGTGCCACCACGCCCGGCTAAGGTAGCAATTCTTAAACAGTAGCAATCACTTAATATTGTGGATAAAGCACATCTGCATTTTTCCATCCAGAGGTAATTTAAAATTTCTTAAATTCTGTAAACTCGAAGATTTGGCCCTGAAATCTGTGATTATTTTCTTTCTAGTGCAACTATCTTTTGCTGCTTCTCTTCCCCTTGGTTTCCAGAATGTCCTTTTGCTACAGAAGACAAAGGGGGTGGGAAGGTGCACGGCAAAGGAAGTAGGTTTGTGGGGGAGGCTGGCAGAATTAATGTGGAAATCACATTACACAATAAATTGGAAATGCATTTTGACTGGCTGCCCTAAATAACTGCTTCTGGTATCTGTGTGCTTTTACTTAACATTCCACTAAAAGAATTGATTAGTGTTCAAACAGCTACACACTCACACACACAAATGGAATTTTAATCTTTGTTTAATCACTATTCAGTGTGCCTGGCGCCCTTTGGAGAGAGGAGAGGACAGTGGTGAACAAGCCAACTGTATTCTCCTCCGAAGAAAGATTCGTGGAAGTGCATTCTCCAATCCCAGGACTGCACACTTGGCAGAGCCCGCTCCGCAAGGACACTTGCACCTCTGGCCAAGCCAGGATGCGCCTTCAAAGTCCCTTGGGGCGGGGGCGGGGGGGGCGGCGGGGATCTGGGCAGGTCATCTGCTTCAGCTGGGGTCTGAGGCTGTCTGACAGCCAGATTCTGCTGCAGACTCTCGGAAGGCTGGTCCCCACCCTCTTCTCAAGGAGCCCTACAAAGGCACAGGAATCATTTTGCTTTGCGGTTTACACAACTCTGCATAACTCCAAACACTTGTTTATCTATGAACTAGATTAGTAACCTTTCCTTCTCTCTTCTCCCCGCCCCGACAAAGAGGAAGCCGCTCTCTTCAAGGTGACTTGTAGGTTAGACTTCAAAGGGCACCCAGTGGAGCTTCATGTACCTAAAAGGATAGTTAGTTTAAGCCAGGGAGTTTGGTCACCTGCATAAATGTAATTTCTTCAGGAGTTCTGAGGACACAAGCTGGACTGTTGTT